AGAGAGGCACTTGCGCGTCCTCTTTCTTTCCTCTCTTTCTCTTTCTTTTTCTCTTTCCTCTCTCCCTCTCTCTTTCTCTCTTTCCTCTCCCTCCCCCCCTTCTTTCTTCAAGTGAGGAGAGGGGGGAGAGAGGCACTTGCACTTCCTCTCTCTCTTTCCTCTCTTTCTCTCTTTTTCTCTTTCCCCTCTCCCTCTCTCTTTCTCTCTTTCCTCTCCCTCCCTCCCCCTTTTTTCTCCAGGTGAGGAGAAAAAGAGAGAGAGAGAGAGAATGAAAGGCAAAGGGCACCAAAGGGGCGGGGAGGGGGGCAGGAGGCAGCAGAAGACCCCGTCGCTGCTGGAGGCACCCAGCTTTGCTGCCCGCCGGGCCTGCAGGGATGCCCCGGCTCACAGTCATGTTGGCAGGCCGTCCCATGTACCGCTGGCATCCCTGAGCTCAAGTCGGGGCCACGGGGCATCTGCAGAATGCCCCACCCATCGGCTGCATCACCAAGCCTCCCCTTGCGCCACCAGCGTCCCCGGCTTAACTCGCAGGGCATCTGCAGAACACCCCCATCAGCTGCTGGAGGAGCTGGGGCCGCTCCGCAATGCACGACGCTCCTGGCCATCCGCGACCCACCAGCATCGCCCAGGAAGCCGGCCACCATCCCAGCCAGGACTGCCGCCCGGGGGGCAACAGGAGGAATAAGGGGAGGAGGAGGAGGAGGGCAAGGAAGCCGGCGCCAGACCCCAGGAGGAGGCGCTCCCGTGGGTCTGGTTGGAAAATGCCTCCCCCTCCCTTTCTCTCCCCCCCCATCTTCTACTCACCTCTCAAAGCAGCCAGGGCTCTGGTGCACCTTCCTGGCCACCTGGGCCAACAGTCCCATGGCTGGGGATCACAGGGGCAGCTCTCCCTCAGGGCCGCAGCTTGCAGGAAGGCTGGCCCGCTAGGCTGAGGCTCTGGTGGGCTGCTCCCAGCGGGGATCCTGGGGATCCCCTGCGCAGTTCCCCGGCCATGTGTACCTGGTATGGGGCCAGCCAGGGAAATGGACTTCCTGGCTGCGCTTGTCCCAGAAGGCGGGGCACCCGGGCTCAGGGCCAACCAGGAGCCCTGTGAGGGGGCAAATCTGCATCAGAGAGAGAGAGAGAGAGAGAGAGAGAGAGAGAGAAGCACAAGTGCCCCCCCCTCTCTCCAAATGGCGGAGGAGGCTCGGAGCTGCAGGGGCAGGCTCAAAAATGTCCCCAAAACTTCTTGCTCCATCGCCCCCATATCGCCCCCTTTTCATTCCTTCGCCCCCATGTCGCCCCTTTTCATTCCATCGCCCCCCTGAAAAATGAAATCGCCCCCTGGGGGGCGATATCGCCCAGGTTAAGAACCACTGCTCTAAAGCACCTGTGGGCAGGACAAGAAGTAACAGACAGAAACTAATCAAGGAGAAATAGTACCTAGAACTAAGGAGAAATTTCCTGTCAATGAGAACAATTATTCAGTGGAACGCTTTGCCTTTAGAAACTATGGGTGCTCCATCATGAGTGTTTTTTAAGAAGAGATTGGACAGCCATTGTCCAGAATGGTATAGGGTCTCCTGCTTGAGCAGGGAGTCGGACCTCCAAGGTCCCTTCCAAGTCTGTTAGTCTGTATTTTGTAAATATTGAAAAAAAAACTGAAAAAAAAATCAGTTAAAATATTGTTATAAAGTGTCTCAGTGTTTCTGTCATAATCACATGTACTGCTGTATACTTTGATTAGTAGAAAATCCAAAACAAATCACATAGTGACAACCATTCCTTGACATCCGGAATAGTATCACATTTCTAATTTTTCAATATGATTCTTTTAGCCACCCCTAGCCAGAGCACATCTGGGAATATGAATTTTTAAAAAACATATCCAACCATTTGGTTGTGGGTACTGAATACAGATTTAGCCTGTGACTTTATTCAGTTGGGGATACAAGAGGAAAACCTTGGTGGCAGAGAGCTTGCAGAATATTGTGAAATTATTTAAGGTACATTTGTGTTCCACACAGCATAATTTAGAAAACATTCATACCAAAATGGGGATGAAAAAATGAATATTTGCAAAAGTACTATAATAATAGTAGGTCATAATTTTAAGAAATGGGGTGAGAAATTAATTGGGTCAGGACTGGCTAACCATGAAGATGAAAATAAGAACTAGAGCCTGACTGACAGGCACATATCCTTATTAATAATATTCCACATTACAATATTTTCTTGCTGCTCTCAGTTATTTACACCCTATTCTTAGGATATGAACCCTAATGCCTAAATAGCTCCATCTTCAATAAGGAATCAGCAGTCTTTGGAGAAATCTTTATTGAAATCAAAACGCACAAAAAAAGATCAAATGTTGAAAGCCCAAAACACTTCAGTGAAGATTTAAGTATTATAGTATGAACAGAATAATCTTCTACACATCTTTTTCCAAAGTCATAGAAGCCAACCAGACCCATGATTAGTCAACAGCAGCAGTTCCTAAATGGATAAAATCTTCTTTATGTTGAGATTGCCTCTGGATATTTTCTTGGGAACAATACAGAAATTGTTCAATACGTTTTTTTAAAAAAAAAAAAAAATAAGTAGCCTAGATGGCAGCCATAGTATACGCCACCTAACTACTAATCATGTTCAACTCTGCTTATTTTTTTCTATACTCTGCTTAAAGTTTAGTGTAGTATAGTGTAGTTTATACTATACTATAGATTTTCAGGGAGTGATTAAAATAAGATAGAAATACTCTTAAAAGAAGCTGTGATGAATTGAAATGCTTCCAATTTACATTTTTTGTTTGATATGCATAGCTGTGGCTGGTGCTCTTTGACCCAAGTTAAATTTGTAGTGAAATCTTCCCATCAAAACTGGGTGTTTTGGTGCTTGGAAGAGAACCTGTAATATTAAGGGGCAAGAGTTTAGTCAACCTTCACACAGCAAAACCTAGGGACCTTTGAAAAATCCACATTGGTTTTCTCGATTACAGGGAGAGAAAGGAAAGCTCCTTAAATTCCTTCCTTTTGCATGTGAAATTGAAAGCTGAATACAGCTTAGAAGCAGATAGAGAGGTTAGTGTGACATCAGATTCAGTCCTAGATAACCTCTGCTAAAAGATATATATAAATGACAATAAGGGTTATCTTATCTCTTATCTAAATCACTCTAAGAATTCAGAAGATTTGCAGATCTGGAGACTAATCCAAGACTGGCCAGCTAACCACTTTCATGCCTAAGGAATAATTTGAAACTGCCTCCAACAAAAACACAACTGCCTCGCCTTTGCCATTTTCTTCTGCTCCCATCCTGGCTACACAAGTTCTCCAAATCGCCAGTTAGGAGGGCCATGCTCTAGAAGCAGCAGTGGAGCAACATGAAACTGCAAAAGTGCACTGCTGGATCCTATGTGATGTTGTAGAACTCTTGTTTTGTTCTTTAGAGCTCTTGAGGTTTTGAGCAGCAGTTCAGGTGTCAGAGTATTAATAATGGTGAATAATATACCCTCAAAGGTAGATTGCTAATTATTACTGACATTCTGAAATGCATTTCCTATGTCTCATGTTCCTCGAATGTTCATTACAGAATATAATGGTGGCTATACCATTATATATTCTATATGTTTAAATAAATTTATCAACATAGTGTGATGACTATAGCCATTGTTTAATTTGTCTGCCTGCTCAGTTACTTATCCGGGTCTTCCAGCTTCTTGGTCTTCCTTCTTATAATTCATTATTTTTAAACTGGATTTGCATGTTTTCAGACAGAGGATTGTCCTCTGTAAAGCAAGACCTGGCCATCCAAGATACCCACCAGGCCTGGAGGATTTCTTACAACATAGTCATGGAATCCCACGTGGCACATAGTGATCTCTCTGTGTAAAAGATATAATGGTGGATAGCTTCTGCCAAAAGTAAAAGAACAAGCAGTCAAGAAATTTGCCACAACTACCACCTTTTTGTGGTACAGCAGGCACAAAAGCCTTAGAAAAGATGTTCAAATGCCATGGAGTATCTATACATATAAAGATCAGAATCGGTCAAACAATGGTATTCTCTGAGACTCAGTTGGATTTTAGAAAAGCAGGATAGGAAGAGCACTGATGCCTTTGAAATTTGATGTTGGAGAAGACTCTAGAGAATAACATGGATAAGAAAACAAACCAATGAATCATTGAACAAATCAATTCAAACAACAAGACTCAAATTATCCTGCTTCAGACACGTATACAAACTCTCTGAAGAAAGTTCTAATGCCGACAAAGATGGAAGAAAAGAGAAGAACCAAAGTGGATGGGCACAGTTACAGTGAAAATGAGAGCAGCATTGGGAGACCTGAAGAAAACTATCTGGTTGCTCTGAGTATAAAATGATTCAGTGGCACACAATCAGTCAATCAGTCAGTCTCTATTGATGGAACATTAGTTACAGGTATACTTTCCTCACTTTTGAAAAAGGAAGAGTGTTAAAGTGATGTGCAAATCAACATTCTGGAGTGTGATCCTGAGTGAACATTCTGGAGTATGGTTTGGAGCAAACATCTGCATGTGCCATGCATAATACACAATGATTATAGGGCACAGATAGAAGAATAGCTTCTTTAGTACTTATATCCAAATGAAAAGTTAAAAAGCAAGCACAAACATTCTCAAGAAAAAGCACAGGGAAAGTTGCTTGAAATCAAGAAGAACCAGAGGGGAGAGATCAGGTTTGAAAGATCAATATAAATCTAAAAAGGAATGTATAAATCAGAGATCTGGCTGTCTCCTACCAAAATTATGATTTTTCCCAAGTAAGACTTCCCCCATTAGAAGACTAAGTATTTAGGAAAAGGCAAGCTGTTCTGTTTCATCTTATATAAAAGGAAAGTCTGTGTCAGTGGCGTCCTGATCGCATCCCTCCCCAGCACTGTTCTCCATTCTTGGTGCTTGGCATGAATGCCTTAGCTGAGAACAAGAACTCATATGCATTCCTGGGGCCTTTCCTCTCTCTGGATATGAGACAGTTTCATACCTTCAGCTGTGCCAGGGAGTTCTGCCAATCCAAACAGGCTGTGTCCCCTCTAAAGGAATTCACCAAACTTGGGAGAAAAATGGAGGATATACTTGTCGCAGATCCACAAAAATTTATCTCTTGGTTGGGATGTTTCAAAGATCAGGCCTACCTAAATGGAGGCAGGACTTATGTGGAAGTTTAGCAAATGGAGGACTATTTATTTAGCCTGCTGTCAAGACTCACTTATTTGTTCCTTTTTAATATTTCTCAGAGAACGAGCCAGATGTTACAGAAACAAAAAAGACTGAGAAAGAAAAGTAGCACAGTGTTGGCACTTTATCTGTTACATTACTGTATTAGAACAGCTTTCACTGCTCTGGCCAACATTACACTTTCCTTTGCTATCTATACACATAATAGAGATTAGACTGGAAAAAAAACAATGCAGAGAATTCTAATTTGATGTGTGGCTTGTTTTGTTCATGTGAGCCAGCTAAACTTGTTTTCTCTGTTAATTATAGGAAGTTATCACATAGCAGGTGATCTAGGAACATCAAAAGAGAAATCTATATTAGCAACTTTTTATTGGGTTGTTTTTAACTGTTGTGAGCTGCACAGAGTCACTTTGGTGAGATGGGCAGCCATACAAATCAAATAAATAACCACAAAAGCTGTGGGGGGGAAAAAGTGCTGTAGTGCAGCTTGCCTTCATGCATAAGTCTCACAGAATCAATATAGCACGCTATTTCAGTGAAAGTACCCCACCGCTCTTCTAACAAAAGTTAAATATATTATTGAGGTCAGATCCTTGGCTATTTATCTTTTTATACTGTAATTTCTCAATTAAAATTTTACTATGACTAAAATATCAGCTGTTGTTCAATCAAATGCTTTATTTCTTCTCTTTTTTCATTTCATACCGTGCGCTTTAGCTTTTTATCTTTTGGTATATATGGAGTGCTTACAAAATGTGAAGTATAAGTGTTAAAAATAATCAAATCCATGTTAAACCAGTGTTCATTCCACTGTTTTGATTTAGAGAGATGAACGTTAAATGCTTCAAATATTTTGTATTTGGATTTATTTATCACTAAATTCTTAGCATTTTCATACCCCAAATCATGGAACTTTCCAAACTTTCTGAGAGCTGCATTTTTCTTAAAATGCCTAGAATGTTTCCAATTGTACCCTGGGAGGCAGGGGCTATTTAGAAGTATGAGACATAATTAGTCAGGCTCATTGTTAAGACCCAAGAGAAGCAAAAACTCCCAGGTAATATCATGAACTTCTAATACCTGAAATAATTCTAAAGCATACCGTGGTCAGAAAGTGTGTTAAATAACAAGTGCTCATCTGACCCTACGTAAATAGGCACAATTCACAAAATCTGAATACTGCAAAAATGAATTGCAATTGCAAATATGTGTACCCAGGTTCTATGAATTAAAGAAAAAAATGAATCCTATCTATATATTGCATAGGACGCTCAGACAGAAAGAATGAAAGATTCAAGAATGGAGAGATGGGCCTCTGTTATTAAAGATATTAAAATATTTATGTGAAACTATAATTTGTTTTGTGGCTAATTCAAATTCAGGTTTCAACTATCATATTGATTCATGCAGATTACAGTTTGAAGCTGAACATAGCAATTGCATCTACTTTCAACATACTAATTCCAAGGATGAGTTTTGAATATTGGATTATGTATTCTAAAACTAATTAATTGGGTAAATGTCCAAGCTCACAACTATCAAACAAATGAATCAGTTCCAAAATGAAACTTAAATTATATAACTAGAATGTAATTCTTGCATTCTCATATTCACACCATTTTAAAAGAGAAAATATTAGAGCTACCATAGTTGAACTGCAGAAATCAAGATGTAGGTACAAGTACTAGATTCTTGTAAAAAGCTAAAAAATGTCTAATTATTTCCAGTTATCTATTTTCCAGATGTCTCAGTCCAGATATGGTAGCATTGGGGAGTATCAGCATATCAAGAGAGAAGCAACTTAGTGATACCAAGCAGGAACTGGCTATCAGGCCAAACACCATCTCTCTTTTTCCTTTGTCAGTTACTCTCAACCCCTGTTTTTGTCCCTCACTGATATATTGCTAGTTAGTACTAATGTTTGTGTGGTGCAGAAGAAACATTACAAAACTTTCTTTTGAACTCTACTCCAAAATCTACAAAGGGTCCTTTGAAGGGACTGCTTGAAAAATCAGCTAATGTGGTGAAATTCCCTTGTACAAACTAGGCTTCGATGCAATTTTAGAGAGGCAATAAATACTAATTTATGGGTTCCAAGTTGTGGAGCTACAAGAAATGCAGGCAAGATTGCTGGAAGCTTTGGCTTTTGTGACCCATTATCAGAATTTATCACATGATGTTAATGGGACACTGTTCTCACAGGAATGCCTATCACAGACTGTTCTGTGTTTTAAACTTTGCTTTTGACCTAAGAAGGGGAAGCAAGTTTGGATTGGGATGTATTCCAAACAATCTCTGACAGCAGCTTCACAAATGCAAACAATTGCAAATCATGGATATCAAGCAAAAATGTTGCCAATAGCAGCAGTTTCTCATGCCAAGCACTGTAAACATTGTGCTAGACATTTCTCTTGCATTCTTAAAAGCATCTCTAATACTTCCACTTCTTATGCTCCACAGCTAGGGTCATGCCACATTTGATGAAATGAAGGCAACGGTATTGAAATTTCATGCATAAAGAAAGTAGAGTAATGTTAATAAAGGAAGAGGAGGATCCCTCTGACTCAGACACTGTTGAAGGAGATTTGAGTCTAGAGCACTGTTTCTCAACCTTGACAATTTTAAGGCATGTGGACTTCAACTCCCAGAATTCCACAGCCAGCATTGCTGGCTGTGGAATTCTGGGAGTTGAAGTCCACATGTCTTAAAATTGTCAAGATTGAGAAACACTGGTCTAGAGATATTTTCTAGATAAGCCATTCCATGCATGCTTATTGCTTTGTTCTGATCAGCTCCAGACAATGGTGGAATTCAAATACCTGAACAACCGGTTCTCTTATTCGATTGCAGGCCTGGGCCTCCAAGGCCTAGAACGGACTTCCGGAAGTGGCATCCATGCAGGCCTAGACTGGACTTCTGGAAGCCAGCTGGTTCTCCGAATGCAGCAAAATTTAGCTACCGGTTCTACTGAACCGGTGCGAACCGGCTGAATCCCACCACTGGCTCCAGATTATATCTGAGACTTTCACATATATTGAAAGATTTCTGATAATTATGAGAGTTTGTGTGCTTGGTTTGGCTGAGGATAATTCCTGTCCCTTCATACTTGCCCATTCTGATTACGTAGAACTTCTTTCCATTTTTCTAATAAAATTTAATAAAAAATTCCTCCTGCACATTTTTTCTGCAGAACAGATGTCTTATGTAGTTTGTTATGCATCAGTTCTTCCTGGTCCCTTTATAACAGCAATCAAGTCCATCTTTTGCCTTCCTAACAGAAAATATTTATTTATTGTTCAAGACCAATTCTTAAAAGAATACACTATTATAACATAGCAAACATAAAACCATAGTGTAACATAAACAACAAGCACGTCTACAGAGAAACTTGAAGCAAAAATATAAGAGAGGAACCAGATTATTTCTGCAAGCCATGGCTATTGTTGAAAAACAGCCTTATTGGACATAGCTGAAGGGGCAGTTAAGATGGCTAACTATTGGTGTTACAAAATGCAATGCAATGCAAGAGATGGGATGCACCTCATATAGACCAAGAATGTACTTGGAAAACAATTGGCTCAGCTCATCTGAAGGGCTTTAAAATAAAACTGCAGGGGGAAGGAGACCAATCTTTAGGACCAAAACCAAAGCATAAATCCTAAGAAAACAAATCAGAATAACATAATAAAATAGTAACACAATCACAGAGTTGGAACGGGCCTTGTAGGTCTTCTAGTAGTCCAGTCCAGTGGTCAACCCCCTGCTCAGGCGACCTATACCATTATAGCCTTGAGTCCCCTAATCATCTTTGTTGCTCTTCTCTGCACACTTTCTAGAATCTCAACATCTTTTTTATATTGAGGCAATCAAAACCAGAAGCAATATTCCAAGTGTGCTCTTACCCAGGCATTATAAAGTGGTAATTAACACTTTGCATGGTCTCGATTTCATAACTCTGTTAATGCAGCCTAGGACTCTGTTGGCTTTTTTGCCAGCTGCAGACAATGAGGAAGAGTGGGGTGAGAAGGAAGGGGCACTCAGGCATGTTAACAGAAGATGCAGGAAGCAAACACAGGGTCAGCCATAAAGGGCTCAGATGCCTATACACTAATGCTAAAAGTATGGGAAACAAACAAGGAGAACCTGAAGTCCTGGTACATGAGAGTAGATACTATTTTGTTACTTTTACTGAAATCTGGTGGGATGAAACCCATGACTGAAACATACTGTTTGAAGGATATACATTGTTCAAAAGCAATAGATCCAACACAAAAGGAGGAGTTGCATTGTATGTAAAGAATTATTACACCTCTACAGAAATATTCACAATATCAAGCATGAAAGTCTTCTTGAAAGTATTTGGGTGAATATTAGAGGAAAATGAAATTATATTATTATAGGCATGTACTACAGGACACCCAACCAAGCAGAGGAAATACATGAACTTTTTGCTAATCAGTTAATTGAGGTGTACAAGAAAAACTGTACAGGAAACCATTGTAATAATGGGAGACTTTAACTACCCTGACATCATCTGGGAGACAAACTCTGTAGCAAGTGGGAGATCAAACAGGTTCCTGATATGCCTGACAATTCTGTCATCCCAAAGATAGAGGAGGGAACTAGAGGATCAGTTATACTACACTTAATTTTTACTAATAGGGATAAGTTGGTGGAGGGAACTATGTCACTCTACAACTTGCCATAATTCAGGCACAGGAAATTAAATCAAGTCAGACTAATGATTTAGATTTTAAGAGAGCTGACTTCAATAAGCTAAGAGAGAGATTAGGAAGAATTTCATGGATAGAAATCCTAAAGCAGAAAACAACTCAAGATGCTTGGGAAGCTCTGAAAAATGAGATTATAAAATCTGAATCTAACACAATACCATAGAGAAAGAAAAACAAGAGACCCAGATGAAATCAGCCTGGTTGCATAAAGAATTCTTTGACAAACTGAGAGAAAAAAAGAAAAGTATTTAAAAAATGGAAAGAGGGACATATAACTAAAACAGAATACCAGCAACTAGCCCCAATCTGCAAGGACAAAGCCAGGGAAGCTAAGGCTTTGAATAAATTAAGACTTGCAACAAATGACAAAAATAACAAAAAACATTTTCTTTCAATATGTAAGAAATAAAAAGAAAATCAAGGAAATGATTGGTCCATTAATGGGAGAAGACAAGAAGGTGATGGCAGGGAGAAAGCAG